TCCTGGAGATCCTAGAAGGGATTCTGTGAGGAATCCTGATGTACAGTGCCTGAGAGGGATCCTATGAGGAATCCTGGAAGAACAAGGAGGAATCTCACTTGGAATCCTGAAAGACCCAACAATAATCCCATGAATAATCATAGAAGACCCAGCAGGGATCCTGTGAGTAATCCTGGAAGACCAGAAAGGGAATCCTATGAGGAATCCTGGAATACTTGGCTGGGATGCTATGAGGAATCCTGGAAGACCTGAGAGGGATCCTATGAGGAATCCTGGAACACCAGAAAGGGAATCCTATGAGGAATCCTGGAATACTTGGCTGGGATGCTATGAGCAATCCTGGAAGACCTGAGAGGGATCCTATGAGGAATTCTGGAAGACCAGAAAGGTAATCCTTTGAGGAATTCTGGAACACTTGGCAGGAATCCTATGAGGAATCCTAGAAGACCCGGCAGGTATCCTGTGAGTAATCCTGGAAGACCATAAAGGAATCCTATGAGGAATCCTGGAACACCTTGCAGGGATCCTGTAAGGAACCCTGGAATACCAGAAAGGGATTCTATGAGGAATTCAAAAGACCTGTCAGGGATCCTGCAAGGAATCCTGGAAGAATAAGGAGGAATATCACAAGGAATCCTGAAGACCCAAGAATGATCCCATGAATAATCATTGAAGACCTGGAAGGGATCCTATGAGGAATCCTGGAAGACCCAACAGGAATCCTATGAAGAATCCTGGAAGACCTGGCAGGGATCCTATGAGGAATCCTGGAAGACCTGGCAGGGATCCTATGAGGAATCCTGGAAGACCCGGCAGGGATCCTATGAGGAAGACTAGAAGGGGGATCCTATGAGGAATCCTGGAAGACCACAAAGGAATCCTATGAGGAACCCTGGAACACCTTGCAGGGATCCTGTAAAGAACCCTGGAAGACCAGAAAGGGATTCTATGAGGAATCCTGGAAGACCTGTCAAGGATCCTGCAAGTAATCCTGGACAACCAGAAAGGGAATTCTATGGGGAATCCTGGAAGACCCGGCAAGGATCCTATGAGGAACCCTGGAAGACCTGAAAGGGAATCCTATGAGGAATCCTGGAAAACCAGAAAGGGAATCCTATGAGAAATCCTGGAAGACCCAGCAGGGATCCTATGAGGAACCCTGGAAGACCTGAAAGGGAATCCTATGAGGAATCCTGGAAAACCAGAAAGGGAATCCTATGAGAAATCCTGGAAGACCCAGCAGGGATCCTATGAGGAAGACTAGAAGGGGGATCCTATGAGGAATCCTGGAAGACCAGAAAGGGAATCCTGCAAAAGCACAATGCAGCATGTTTTCAAGTCAAAAGTAAAGGTTTTGCATTTCTCCATCTTGAAATGAATGGGCTGCCCTGCTTGCGATGTGTGGGAACGTGCTGTAAAAACGCATGAAAACGTATGGAAACGCATGGAAACGCATGCTGACTTGGTCGCTCCTGTAGGTGTGATCTAAGCCTCATGAATCTTGCACGCAGGGCAACTGCCCATCTCTCCTGGATGTCTTTCCTCCCATCAGAAATGTTTTGGCAGAAAATAAACGATTGACGCTTGTAAATGCGTCTAGATGTGTATAAGCGCGTTTAGGCGTGTCAGGTGCTCTGGCATTCAATCATTTCATTGGCCTCAATAAGAATCCTTTTCCCGGTCTTTGAAATGAATTAACACTCAAGCGCTTGACCCGCATATTGTTAATGCACATTTAGACCGGTGGTGTCACTAGGGTTGGTGTCACCGCCCCCATCCCCAGCAGGACAGGCAGGAGAGGACTGAGCAGGGAGGTTCTCCCCCCCAATAATGTCCTTAGGCCCCCCCAATAATGTCCTCAGCCCCCCTCAATAATGTCTTCAGTGAACCCATTCCTATCCTCAGTCCCCCCCATTACTGTCCTCAGTATACACCATTAATGTCCTCAGCCCCCCAATAATGTCCTCAGTGACCCCATTGCTGTCCTCAGGCCACTATTTACTGCCTTCATACCCCCAATTACTGTCCTCAGGCCCCCAATAATGCCCTCAGTGACCCCATTGCTGTCCTCAGTCCCCTTATTAATGTCCTCAGTCTACCCCCACAATTCCCCCACAGCACCCGATTACTGACATCAGCTCCCTTCCCCTCCCACACAGCACCCCAATACTGTCCTTAGCTCCCCTCCCCCACAACTGTCCTCAGCTCCCCCCTACATCGCCCCATTGCTGTCCTCAAATTCCCCCCCCCCCCCCCACAGTACCCTCATTACTGTCCACAGCTCCCCCCCACAGTGCCCCATTACCATCCTCAGCTCCCCCTAACAGTGCCCCATTACCATCCTCATCTCCCCCTCACAGCTCCTCATTACTGTCCACAGCCCCCCCCCCCACAGCACCCCATTGCTGTCCACAGATTCCCCCCTCAGTGTCCCATTACCATCCTCAGCTCCCCCCATAGTGCCACATAACTGTCTTCAGCTTCTCTCTCCCCCACAGCACCCCATTACTGTCCTCAGCTCCCCTCCCCCACAGTGCCCCATTACTGTCCTCAGCTCCCCTTCCCCACAGTGCCCCATTACTGTCCTTAGCTCCCCCCCCCCCACAGCACCCCATTACTGTCCACAGCTCCCCCCCTCCCCACAGCACCCCATTACTGTCCTTGGCTCCCTCCCACTGCGCCCCATTACTGTCCTCAGCTCCCCCCCAAAGCACCCCATTACTGTCCACAGCTTCCCCCCTCCCCACATCATACTGTTACTGTCCACAGCCCCCCCCCCACAGCATTCCATTACTGTCCTCAGCTCCCCCCACAGTGCCCCATTACTGTCCTCAGCACCCCCCCCAAAACACCCCATTACTGTCCACAGCTTCCCCCCTCCCCACATCATACTGTTACTGTCCACAGCCCACCCCCCCACAGCATTCCATTACTGTCCTCAGCTCCCCCCACAGTGCCCCATTACTGTCCTCAGCTCCTCTCCCCACAGTAGCCCATTACTGTCCACAGCGCCCCCCCACAGTGCCCCATTACTGTCTCAGCTCCCCCCCCCCACAGCACCCCATTACTGTCCTCAGCCCCCCCACTGCATCCCATTACTGTCCTCAGCTCCCTCGCTGAACCCCATTACTGTCCTCAGCTCTTCTCCCCACAGTAGCCCATTACTGTCCACAGCGCCCCCCCACAGTGCCCCATTACTTTCTCAGCTCCCCCCCCCACAGCACCCCATTACTGTCCTCAGCCCCCCCCCCCCACTGCATCCCATTACTGTCCTCAGCTTCCCCCGCTGAACCCCATTAATGTCCTCAGCCCCCCCCCCCCCCCACTCTGCCCCATTACTGTTCTCAGCTCCCCTCATGGCCCCTCCTCCTGTCTTACCTTACACAGACAGTGTGGAGGGCTGGAGAGAGTCTGGAGAGAGGGCGGGAGCTGCTAGCTGGTGATTGGTTGCTAGGACCGCCCTGCGTCCTAACAGCCAATTATCTGCTGTTAACTTAGGCAGCCTCGCCCCTTTTGAAAATTGAAAATGTCATTCATTCTGTAATTGATCATTTTTCAGGAATTTTCCAACATGCCCGATAAACGATATGGGGAGGAACCACGAAAATTGGTTATTTTAAAAATTGAAAACAGAGTCAAAGTTGGTCAATTATTCTAAGGTCTGATTTCCAAATAAAAAATCATTCGGAAATCGACCCTTGTATGGCCGGCCTTAGTCCGTTGGGTTCAATATTGAGTTGGCCCCGCCCTTTCCACACACATGACCTTTAATGGCCCCCCAGTCTTAGTCCGTAGGGTTCAATATTGAGTTGGCCCCACCCTTTCCACACACATGACCTTTAATGGCCCCCCAGTCTTAGTCCGTAGGGTTCAATATTGAGTTGGCCCCGCCCTTTCCACGCACTTGACCTGACCTTTAATGGCCCCCCAGTCTTAGTCCGTAGGGTTCAATATTGAGTTGGCCCCACCCTTTGCAGCTATAACAGCTTCAGCTCTTCTGGGAAGGCCGTCCACAAGGTTTAGGAGGGTGTCTATGGGAAGGTTGGACCATTCTTCCAGAAGCACATTTGTCAGGTCAGGCACTGATGTCGGGGGAGGAGGCCTGGCTCGCAGTCTCCGCTCTAATTCATCCCAAAGGTGTTCTATGGGGTTGAGGTCAGGACTCTGTGCAGGACAGTCAAGTTCCTCCACCCCAAACTGGCTCCTCCATGTCTTTATGGCACTGGTGCGCAGTCATGTTGGAACAGGAAGGGGCCATCTCCAAACTCTTCCCACAAAGTTCGGAGCATGAAATTGTCCAAAATGTTGCCTTAAGAGTTCCCTTCACTGGAACTAGGGGGCCAAGCCCAACCCCTGAAAAACAACCCCACACCATAATCCCCCCTCCACCAAACTTTACACTTGGCACAATGCAGTCAGGCAAGTACCGTTCTCCTGGTAACTGCCAAACCCAGACATGTGCATCGGATTGCCAGACAGAGACGTGTGATTGGTCACTCCAGAGAACATGTCTCCTCTGCTCTAGAGTCCAGTGGCGGCGTGCTTTACACCACGGCATCCGACGCTCTGCATTGCACTTGGTGATGGAAGGCTTGGATGCAGCTGCTCGGCCATGGAAACCCATTCCATGAAGCTCTCTACGCACTGTTGTTGGGCTCATCTGAAGGCCACACCAAATTTGGAGGTCTTTAGCTATTGACTCTGCAGACAGTTGGCGACTTCTGCGCACTGTGCGCTTCAGCATGCGCTGACCCCCCCGCCCTGTCATGTGACGTGGCCTACCACTTGGTGGCTGAGTGGCTGTTGTTCCCAGTTGCTTCCACTTTGTTATAATCCCACTAACAGTTGAGCGTGGAATATTTAGTAGCCAGGAAATGTCACGGATGGACTTATTGCCCAGGTGGCCACCTATCACGGGACCACGCTTGGAGTCACTGAGCTCCTGAGAGCGACCCATTCTTTCACCAATGTTTGTAGAAGCAGTCTGCATGCCTAGGGGCTTGATTGTATACACCTGTGTCCATGGGGGGGATTGGAGCACCTGAATCACATGATATGGAGGGGATTGGAACACCTAAGTCACATGATATGGAGGGGATTGGAACACCTGAATCACATAATATGGAGGGGATTGGAACACCTGAATCACATGATATGGAGGGGATTGGAACACCCAAATCACATGATATGGAGGGGATTGGAACACCTGAATCACATGATTAGGAGGGGATTGGAACACCTGAATCACATGATTGGGAGGGGATTGGAACACCTGAATCACATGATATGGAGGGGATTGGAACACCTGAATCACATGATTGGGAGGGGATTAGAACACCTGCATCAAATGATTGGGAGGGGATTGGAACACCTGAATCACATGATTGAGGGGGCGGGACATACTTATGCAAATATAGTGTACATTGCAATACTTTCTTCTGCATTCTGATACATTGTGGTACTTTGTATGTTATGATTGAAGTTACTACAATACAATAAGGGTCCATTCATGCGATGGCTTGGCACTAATGCATGTTACACGTACGTCGTTCTGAATGGCTGTCCGATCCACCTTGCCGACGCGCACATATTGTAGCACAGAGGGGATTGGAACACCTGAATCACATGATATGGAGGGTATTGGAACACCTGAATCACATGATATGGAGGGGATTGGAACACCTGAATCACATGATATGGAGGCGATTGGAACACCTGAATCACATGATATGGAGGGGATTGGAACACCTGAATCACATGACATGGAGGGGATTGGAACACCTGAATCACATGACATTGAGGGGATTGGAACACCGGAATCACATGATATGGAGGGGTTTGGAACACCTGAATCACATGATATGGAGGAGATTGGAACACCTGAATCACATGATATGGAGGGGATTGGAACACCTGAATCACATGATATGGAGGGGATTGGAACACCTGAATCACATGATATGGAGGAGATTGGAACACCTGAATCATATGATATGGAGGGGATTGGAACACCTGAATCACATGATATGGAGGGGATTGGAACACCTGAATCACATGATATGGAGGGGATTGGAACACCTGAATCACATGATATGGAGGGGATTGGAACACCTGAATCACATGATATGGAGAAGATTGGAACACCTGAATCACATGATATGGAGAAGATTGGAACACCTGAAATACAATTATATAAAGTATGCAAAATGATTGATCATTTTCCTTCCTGGCTGATCAGCTTAGTTTTATCAAACGCAATCTAAATCGATGCGAAGTGCGTGGCCGCCATTAGTCTCCATGATTTGATACAAATGTAACGACACAAAAGTTTTGAAGAAAAAAGTTGATCGGAATCAGCGTTTCCTCCACGTCAGGTAGAAAGTGGCGGCGCCCCCCCCCCCCCCCCCCCCCCGCAGCTCGCTGACATTATTTATGAAGCGCGGATATTTCTGCCACCCCCGTCGCAGTTCTCTCACGCTAGGTGTGACAACATCGGGGAAGATTACCTTCCACAGGGGCCTCGTTAATAAAGAAAACTAATTAAGACGCCAGGAACGGGACAGAGTGACATGTGAGTGCGGATGGCTCTCTTAAAGCGGCGGTACGGCGCGCCCGACGTGCGAAGATGACAATCCGCGGAAAGCTTATCACAGAAGATATGCAAATCACAAATTATTACAGATTCCCGGCGATCAATGTGGCAAATGACTGAAGATTTTAATATGTATTTCTCCTAATGCAATCTACATATTCAGATCGCATCATTCCCAGCGTCTCGATATGTTGGAGACGTTTGACGTGAAATACGCAATTTTTTTTGTCAAGGCGACTTGTCAACGGAAAACTCCAAAGAAAACGCAGGAGAAAAGTAAGATCAGAGGAAGACGCGTGGAAATGTCGTGACACCTTCGTTGTTATTCTGCAATCCACTGCCGCCAGAGTCCAGAGATCTCCTCACATGTGTCAATGGGTGAAACTAAAGCCCTTGTCCTCTACAGCGGGGGTCTCCAAACTTCCTAAACAAAGGGCCAGTTTTACTGCTTTTCAGACTTTAGGGGGGCTGGACTGTGGCCAATGGGAGTAGAAAAAGTCCCGGCATCTATGGGAGGGATAGTGCCCCATCATTGGTGTCAGTGGGAGGAATAGTGCCCCATCGTTGGTGTCAGTGGGAGGAATAGTGCCCCATCATTGGTATCAGTGGGAGGAATAGTGCCCCATCGTTGGTGTCAGTGGGGGGAATAGTGCCCCATCATTGGTGTCAGTGGGAGGAATAGTGCCCCATCATTGGTGTCAGTGGGAGGTATAGTGCCCCATCATTGGTATCAGTGGGAGGAATAGTGCCCCATCATTGGTGTCATTGGGAGGAATAGTGCCCCATCATTGGTGTCAGTGGGAGGAATAGTGCCCCATCGTTGGTTTCAATGGGAGGGATAGTGCCCCATCGTTGGTTTCAATGGGAGGAATAGTGCCCCATCGTTGGTGTCACTGGGAGGAATAGTGCCCCATCATTGGTGTCAGTGGGGGGAATAGTGCCCCATCATTGGTGTCAGTGGGAGGAATAGTGCCCCATCATTGGTGTCAGTGGGAGATATAGTGCCCCATCATTGGTATCAGTGGGAGGAATAGTGCCCCATCATTGGTGTCATTGGGAGGAATAGTGCCCCATCATTGGTGTCAGTGGGAGGAATAGTGCCCCATCATTGGTGTCATTGGGAGGAATAGTGCCCCATCATTGGTGTCAGTGGGAGGTATAGTGCCCCATCATTGGTATCAGTGGGAGGAATAGTGCCCCATCATTGGTGTCATTGGGAGGAATAGTGTCCCATCATTGGTGTCAGTGGGAGGAATAGTGCCCCATCATTGGTGTCATTGGGAGGAATAGTGCCCCATCATTGGTGTCAGTGGGAGGAATAGTGTCCCATCATTGGTGTCAGTGGGAGGTATAGTGCCCTATCATTGGTATCAGTGGGAGGAATAGTGCCCCATCATTGGTGTCATTGGGAGGAATAGTGCCCCATCATTGAGCACAGGTGTGTCAGGAGGGAGGAGTTTCTCCTGCTGTCAGGTGATCCAGCTCCTGTGTGTGAGAGGGGAGTGTGGTGAAATCTTTCCCAGGCCTTCTGGCCCCTTCCTGGGGAAGCCATGGAGCCCAGCGGGGCTTCTCCTGCTGGGAGCTCGCAGCCATCCCCTGGGCTGACGGGTGACATGCCTGCCTTAGTACAAGCCGGGGCTGCTGATTTATCTTCTCCAGGTGAAGATGAAGGCGTGGAGTCCATTGGGGAGAGAGTGGTGGCCGGGATTAAGGTCCTGAATAAGGAGAGAGACAAGCTCTACAAACTCAGAGCGGAGTTGAAGCAACTGAGAAAGTGTGAGAGCGTGTATAGCCGGAACCGGGGATCCATGGATCAGTGTGAGAGCGTGTATAGCCGGTACCGGGGATCCATGGATCAGTGTGAGAGCGTGTATAGCCGGAACCGGGGATCCATGGATCAGTGTGAGAGCGTGTATAGCCGGAACCGGGGATCCATGGATCAGTGTGAGAGCGTGTATAGCCGGAACCGGGGATCCATGGATCAGTGTGAGAGCGTGTATAGCCGGAACCGGGGATCCATGGATCAGTGTGAGAGCGTGTATAGCCAGAACCGGGGATCCATGGATCAGTGTGAGAGCGTGTATAGCCGGAACCGGGGATCCATGGATCAGCGTGAGAGCGTGTATAGCCAGAACCGGGGATCCATGGATCAGTGTGAGAGTGTGTATAGCCGGAACCGGGGATCAGCGTGAGAGCGTGTATAGCCGGAACCGGGGATCCATGGATCAGCGTGAGAGCGTGTATAGCCGGAACCGGGGATCAGCGTGAGAGCGTGTATAGCCGGAACCGGGGATCCATGGATCAGTGTGAGAGCGTGTATAGCCGGTACCGGGGATCCATGGATCAGTGTGAGAGTGTGTATAGCCGGAACCGGGGATCAGCGTGAGAGTGTGTATAGCCGGAACCGGGGATCCATGGATACTGAAGTCCAGTTGGCTATGGTCCGGGTGGAACATCAGGAAACCATTGTGGCCATGATGGAAGGGAGAGATGGGCCTTTCAAGGAGAAGTTTTCTAATGACATAAGGTTTGCAAGAATGGCAAAGGTGGAGGAGGAGACCCCCAGATCTGACTTCCTGCCCCCTCAGGGTGAGGTAAGCAGCCCCATGCCATCTCAGGACTCAGGAGGAATGCTGAGGGTGATCCAGTCAATGGAGTCTCCAATGAGGGGGAATCAGCTGGTGTTTGATGGTGAGGACATCCCTGATAACAGGATAACAGGCCTGATAAGGTAAAGCCTATCAAGCCCCAAACTGTGGATAAGACTGTCTTTGTACCATTTAATGCAGCAACAAATCGTCTGCCTAGTGACACCTAGCTTGGTGACCCCATGTCCATCAATGCTTTGACTAATGCTGACCGTCTGCCTAGTGACACCCAGCCTGGTGACCCCATGCCCAGCAATGCTTTGATGGTGTTATAAGTCAGCAAAATGTGTATTTAATAAAGTTATATTTCTGCAGAGGGACTACTAGTGCCAGCAGAACTCATTAACCCTTCTTTGGCCAAATCCATACCTGCTTGCCCAGTCACCCCTGCTGAACAAGGCTCTATAGTACAGCATCAGTGACCTGTGGTATTGCAGCGGAGACTGTGGCTGCACCTGATGAAAGGGTTAATATCTGTGTGACTGACAGTCCTGCCAGTGGAGGTGGGAAGGACCATCCTGCCAGTGGAGGTAGGAAGGACAATCCTGCCAGTGGAGGTAGGAAGGACAATCCTGCCAGGACAGGTGGGAAGGACAATCCTGCCAGGACAGGTGGGAAGGACAATCCTGCCAGTGGAGGTGGGAAGGACAATCCTGCCAGGACAGGTGGGAAGGACAATCCTGCCAGTGGAGGTAGGAAGGACAATCCTGCCAGTGGAGGTAGGAAGGACAATCCTGCCAGGACAGGTGTGATGGACAATCCTACCAGCTCAGATAGATCTGTGAATGGTGTTGTGTGGACTAGTGCTCTATCAGTGTGGGCCTTGGCCCTGACAAGCCTACCTTTGCTCAGGTGGTAGGCTCTGCTCCTGGTAATGCCATCAAGCCAGGGCTGCAGTCAAAGGGGAACTCCACTTTCAAGCAAGTTGTTCCCCCAAAAACCACCACTTTGAGTTCCCCAGGGTCAGGTCTAGGGTCTCTGGCCCTCTACCGTGGGTCCAAGGCGAAATGTCGTCCTACTTAAATGGGAAGGTGGTGCAGTCCCTCCAGCAAGGCGAGTGGCGGTGGATTTGATCTTGGGGATGGGGTTCAGGGCAAATGACCTCTGTGCCCTCATTCATGTAGCTGGGAGCTGGGAATACACCATAAGCTTCACCAGGCCAGAGGGTTTGGACCTGTTTTGAGAACGATATGAGGCTCAGTGCAGCCCGGAATGGGAAGGTCTGGAAACAGTTGCTGTCTCACAGAGGTCAACCATGAAAAAAATAACCATCATCCTCAATAATGAGAGTGTTCGTGCTCGGGACCTAGAGGTCTGGTTGAGGCATTATGGGGAGGTTTTGACAAAACCGGATAAAATTCATGATGAACGCAACATCTGGACTGGGGGTTGGTCGGTGACAGTCAGGTTGGCCAGGGATGGGAATGTTGTCCATCACCTGCCCTCCTCTGCTTTTATAGGGAGTGACAGGATGACTATTTTTTATCCTGGTCAGCCAAAACTGCGTCACCGGTGTGGAGAAAAGGGGCACTTCAGCTCCTCCTGTCCAGCTTTGATATGCTCAATGTGTTGGGGTAAGGGTCATGTGGCCAAGGACTGCACCCAGATAAGGTGCAACCTGTGCCTACACCTTGGCCACTGCTACAGCCAATGTCCTGAGGCTTGGCACAATGTGGAGAAAGAGGTGATGGATGAACTGTTGAGGCTGGACAGGTTAGAGGGTGAGGCCCCTGGCGTAACATCCTCCTCTCCGGTGACTGGCTCCCTGGTTCTGTTTAGGATCCCTTCCCAGTTCCACTGGCCACCCCTCTTGTGTCTGTAAGTATTCCTTTTGTTCCTGTCTCTGTGTCCCCCCAAACCTACTATACCTGCTCCCCTTGTGTCAGAACCTTCCAAATCTATGCCCCCTGAGTCAGTTATCCCCTGTGAGTCTTCTCACCACAAGTCTGATTTGAAGGAAGGTTCCCCCCCCCACCAGGAGGTGGTGGAGGGTGGCAAAAACTATTTTGCCGTCTCTTCTGAAAAGAAGTCTTCTGTGAAGAATTCTAAAAACAAAAGCAGGAGATGGGAGCATCTTTGAGCCTGACTGTCAGTACCTAGAGGGGAGAAGGAAGGTTGTGAGGCAGAAGAGGCGGGTGGTGGGGACGGGAAGCTCCAGTGCCTGTCTCCAACCGCTTTTCCAATTTAGATATTTCCTCATCAGGCACTTCTTCTGAATGTAGTTCAGAATTTGAAATGGAGTTTGAGGAAGCCTCAAGAAAGAGAGAGGCGTCTGGTGATGAGCAGCAGAGGGGAGCTAAGAATCAATCCACCCAATACCCCAAATGGCGGTTCCCCCTCCACTAAAAGTGCCGACAAATGTCGCCAGCATTAAGTCGGTAAGAGCTTGTTCTATGGCCTTCTTTTTGTTCAGCCAATTAGATGCTGAAATTTTATTTTTGCAAGAGACTAGGCTCACCTCCTTGGCAGATATTCATATGGCCAAGAAGAGTGGAGGTATGGTCCATCTTACTGGTCTCTTGCGGTTGAGCATTACAGCGGTGTGGCGTGTTGTTTAAAACCAGCATGGTAACTGTCCAGCGGGTTATTGAGGTGAAGATTGGGAGATGTATGGTCTTAGACATCCTTGTGGGAAGGCAGGACCTGGGCCTAATTAATGTTTATGGGGCGCACACAAAGTGGGACAGGAAATGCCTTTTTACAAGGATTAAGCCATTTCTTTTTACATCCCAGCAAGTGGTCTCTGGATGTGACTTTAATACTGTGACTAGGCCCAAGGACAGGAAGGACTTCAAAGACCAGGTGGGATATGGGATATGATAGCGTTTTTTTGAATAGTATGGTTAGGGATGCTGGTCTTGTGGATGTGCACATTAAGCACCTCCCAGACGGGACAGGGTTCCACTTTCATCGAGGTAATAGCCAGAGTAGGATAGGTGTTTTTTAAAGGAGACCTCTGCTTTCTCTCCCCCAGTGGTGCAGGCAGTAGAGATCTCTGATCACTGTATGCTATCTGTGGTCTTGAATGCTTTAAACTCTCCTCAGAGGGGCAAGGGCATCTGGAGATTGAATTTGACTCTCCTTGAGGAAGAACACATTAGACAATCCTTTGAGGAATTCTTTCAGGCACAAGTGACCATCCTGGACTTTTGTAGCAGCAAGGCTGAGTGGTGGGAGCTGACCAAAAAGAAGATCGCTGGATTTTTAAGGGGCCTAGCCAATAGAAAGCAGTTTGAGAGACACATGATCTACCAAAGGTTGCGGAGGAAGCTGGATATTCTTGTCTCGAGAGGAGGAGATCCTGGAGCAATCTCTGAGGTGAAACTCCTCCACAGGAAATGTCAAATATGACCGGCATGCCTCTTTGGTTCTGGAGAAGGACTATGGGAAGTACCACTTGCCCAACCCTTACCAGAAGTGCAAACAAGGTGTAGCAGTTAAGACGGCCGTTGGCCTTAAGGATAGTACAGGTTCCTTGACCAGGTTAGGGATCCTGGAGGTCGAGGGGTCCTTTTATGCTGAACTTCTTGGAAGGAAAGAGCTTGATCGAGGCAAAATGGAAGACTTTTTGGACTCTACTCCAGATCTAAATGGTGGAGATGTTCCATTGATGAATTTGACAGAGGAGATCACAGTTGAAGAGGTGATGGGGGCAATTGAGCATCTAGCCATCAAAAAGTCACCTGGACCGGATGGCTTCATGGCTGAGTTTTACAAAGCTTTCAAGTCTATTCTGGACCCGCATTTAGTAGAGCTTTTTAACAGCTGGCTCGTTGAGGGGACTCTTCCCCCTCCCATGACGCACTCAGCTGTGATTCTTCTGTCAAAAGGTAAGGATCCTTCGATGATTGAGAATTGGCACCCCATCAGCCTTCTCAATGTCAATAGGTGCTGGCGAAGATACTTTTCTGGCGCTTATTGTCAGTAGCAGAGTCTTTGCTTTCTCACCATCAGCACTGTTCGGTCCAGGGTAGGAGCACCTTTATAGCGGTGTTAGCTGTCCGGGAGGTCCTGGAGCAGTGCAGGCCTGCAGGCTGGGGAAAGTATTTCCTGGCATTGGATCAGGCAAAGGCTTTTGATCGTGTCAACCATGAGTACTGCTCCTTAGTAAGTACGGTCTGCCAGGTGGTTTTGTCGATTGGTTGAAAGTCTTGTATAAGGGGGCAGAAAGCTTCCCTCTTGTTAATGGTTGGGTTGGGCAGTCCTTTGAGGTTGGCTCTGGGGTGTGCCAGGGTTGTCCTCTGAGTCCCCTGCTCTATGTGTTTGCAATCGACCCCTTCATCAGGAGGCTAGAGAACAGCATGTTGTGAGGGGGACCAGTAGGGCTCCTGGGTGAGCCACCTTTGAGGGCTGTTGCCTATGTGGATGATGTATCAGTGATTGTCACTGGGACGGATGAAGCAGAGGTGGTGGTCTCTCTGACATCACGGTACTCTGAAGCATCAGGCTTCAAGATCAGTCGGGATAGGAGTAAAGTTTTCTGGATGGGAAAGGAAGGTGAGGTGTTGGATCTCCAGGACGCCTTTCCAACGCCCCAGAAAAAAATTAAGATACTAGGCATTGAATTCGGACCTGGCGATTATGGTCGTAAAAATTGGGAAGGCAGGCTGAAAGTTGCCAATACTAGGGTGATCAGCTGGAAGAGATGGAAGTTATCTCTGATGGAAAGGGTTCATATGATTAAGACTTACCTGATTCCGATCTTCTTGTATGTCAGCTTTGTCTGCATCTTGCTGGTGTCTCTCTATGCTAGGGTCTCTAGTGTGTTCTTCCAGATGCTGTGGGGAAACAGACTGAACCTCAAGAGGAACGTCACCTATCTGTCCAGGAGAGAGGGAGGATTAGGTAAGGTCAACCCAGTTCTTTTCTTTTCACTGCTTTTTCTCAAGTTTGGTAATATGCTTGCAGTGGAACCTCCTGGATGAGCAGGCATGTTTAGATCTCGGTTTAGGCCTTTTCTATGACTTTGGGAAGAAGGTGGCCAAGTGACGAATCTCAGAGGTCATCGTGGTCAGCTTCCAGCCTATGTCTCTCCACGCCTGAAGTTGCTGAGGCAGTGGCGATTGTTGGCTGAAGATCTCAGATCCATTCCGAGTGGTCCTGAGATCTTCCTTATGAAAAAGTCCTTATGAGTCGGGTCTTGAGCGAAGTCTTTCATGACCCACTGGCCTTAAGGGATTGCCCAGGCGAAATTATGAGGGAAGGGTTAAGGCCGATTAATTTGGATAGATTCCCCCTTAAATTTAGGGATCTGGCCTAGCTGTGCTTCCATGGGAGGCTCTATGTTCGGGGCAATTTGAAATATCT